TTGCGGCTTTTTGTGAGCAGGTCTCCAACCATATTTCACGAACACACTCGAAGCAATATTAGTGTAATATTTGATGGAAAAAAAGGACATAATTCATCCTTATGTTTTCACGGTAAATTTTAACCTCTATTTCTGAAAACTATACGAACCTTTCACATTTGAACTTTTAGTTGCAATATTAACCATGAAGGGAATTCATTCTTAAATTAGGTTATGAGAAAACCATTTCGCTCCACATTATCAAAATGGTAAGTTGAAATTAGACCTAAATTCTTAACAGTCACATCTTAACATTGAAACCAAATAACTATCTAAGGGTTAGCACCGCAAAAATTAAAGAGCGCGTTTGGAACTCGTTCCAAAATGATTTTATTTTTTATATGAAAATGAAAATGAAAACGTTTTCAAACTCAGATATAAATCATTTTTGAAAATGCGTTTAGTAGTTTTATCAAGAGATTATTTTCAGTGTAAAAAAACCCATTAATGTCTTTTTTCTCTCTCTCTCTCTACTCGAGAGAGGAGAAAATGAAAACAAAAACTAAAAAAAGACTAAAAGTCATTTTTTATTTCTCTCTCATTTTGCACTAAATTAAAAAATCGTTTTCATTTTCATTTTTTATCTTTATTGCGCCAAACGCCGTTTTGGAAACATTTTTATTTTTTTCTCAAAAAACGTGAAAAATAAAAATGAGATCAATTCCAAACACGGCCAAAATCTTGAGATTTGATCTGGCACTTCGACATTGCCTCACATGGTGCTGCCTCGTGCGTGAGGTTGCAATTCACGCGTTGCATGCTCGCAAACTGTATCTACGCTAGCATCGTCTCTGGGACGCAAACTGTATCTATGCTAGTCCAACAAGGCAAGCCCCTTTCTCATGTAGATCTCGCCTTGTGCGTTTGTTAGAAGAGATTGTCTTGGGCCAAATTTAGCGAGAGGCACGCTAACCTAGTCCTATGTCGCCGATGTTGACCACAAACATCGACAGTATTTGGAGGAACGGAGGAGAAAGTATGAGAAAGGATGTTTAGATTGTGTTAAATAGAAGGATATTAATGAAATGTAAAATATTTTTCTTCGAGTTTTTCATGGCTAGCAGAGGTCAACGATATAACATGGAAACTATAAGTTCAAATATGTAAAGGATGTGGTTTGTAGTTTTCAAAATCAAAAACAAAATTTGACTAAAATTATGAAGATAACATTATGTAGTTTTTCCTTTTCAAATCTACATAAAGGACACAATTGTGCCATATAAATTTAATTATTAATTTCAAAATTTTATTTCAACAATTGAAATAACATAGACGAATTTAGAATTCTTGTTTATTAACTGATGATGATGATAATAATCATACATATGTACGCACATATTACATACATATGTACATAAATATACATTTTAAGATGTTGAACTCACTATTTATAAAAGAATGACAAAGTTGATAAAAAAAGTTAAAATTATAGTTGGTGTCCCTAATATTACTCTATATAT